GTAGCATGGCTGGGATGGCGGCAATAGCAGCCTCTCTCTGGACACCTGGGCCCGGGGGGGGGGGGCGCTGTGCTGGCATGGAGGCCTTGGGTACGGGAGAAGAGCTCAAGGGTGAATCTCTGTGCTCAGTAAAGGGATAAGGCCAGTTCAAAACAGTGCGCATAGTTTTGGGCTGTGCTTAAAACCCTTTTCTGTGAACAGAATGAGCTTTAAAAGTGGTGGAGATAACTGGGAGATAAATTAAAAGTAGTTTCCCAAGTCATTGTAAGCAGCTTTTGAAATTCCGCTGTGAGGTGGAAACTAGATGATAATGGTGACAAATTTATGTGAATGACAGAGAGTCTTCAGCTAAAGAATGTGTTCATTTGCATTTGAATGCTACTCCAGTGATCTGCAGGGAGTGGCAGGTGATTCCTTGGTGAAGATGCCCAGATGGCCTTGCTTACAATGTTTAGTCTTTGTCATTGGTATCAGCTAAGCAGAGTCATATAGCTACTTAAGTATGAATTGTGATTGACCTATGAACAAAATTCATTCTTTTTTCTTACATTGTCTTGAATCTTAGTAAACTGCCTTTGGTGCGGAGAGGTCTCAGGGAGGCCAGAGAGTGCAGGACAGCTCTCCTGCAAAGAGATTATTCAGTACTTTGTTTGAACTTCAGAAAAAAATTTTGAGATCTGAAAAAAATGTATGACCAGATCTGTTGCTGAAACTTTACCCTAAGTAAGCAGGATGTGTTAGAAATGTAATGTTATTAATCTAAAAATTGCCAAATATATTTGACTTGCCAGCTTTAAAAATTCAAAATATAAATTGAATTAGGAAAAGTTAATTGCAGTAACTAAATGCCTAGAATATGGCAGGCTAAACTGTATTATATATGTTAAGAATAAGCAGTAATGATCAAAGATCTCAAGGATTGATTTATTCTCATTTGTCAGATGAAAAAGTATGTAATGCTTAAACTTAAAAAAATATTATTTTAAGTCAGTGATGCAGTATTTTTTGAAGTCAGTTTTTCTGAAGTAATGTTTAATGTAACATGAAACTTTTATATTTGATCTGTTTTGTTTTGTTTTGCTTTGCATTGTAAGTTTGAATTTGGGCTTGTACCTGCATCTTGTATTTTGTTTAAACAGTGGGAATCATTTTTGGTTTCAGTCATGTGTGTCTACTTTATAGATTTAAGTAGACTTCATCACAAAGGTTTATAATTTATTTAGAATTGTGTTAAAACAATTATTTGTATAATTTAACCCCCGTGACTGCTTGGACAATTTTCACCGATGTTCTGCAGGAGGGAGTAGAAGGGGGCTTAGAAATGCAGATAAATCTGTATCTGTAGGAAAAATGTGGCATTTTAAATTTCAAGCAGCTGGAGGCCTGGGAACAGGTACTGGACCTGCTCCCTCCTCCCTTGCCTTTTCTTTAAAATCTGAGGCATGGTTATGTATTTTTGGAGGATAAGATTTTTATAAAAGTTATAAAAAGAATGTCCTGACAGGTTAGCTAGGAGAGGCAAGCCTGTTAGTTTCCTGATGGGCACTGGGGCAGCGTATTTAGTCTTGAGAGAGCCAATAGGACCCATACATCAGCCCAGGAAGCCACCGGACAAACTGCCTGTTTTCTTTGGACATCAAGAAGGACTGGTCCTCGGAAGGAACACGTACTGGGGGAATGCAGCTGTTGAACTGGTCCAAGGTGGAACAACGGGCCTTTGAGAAGCTAAAGAAGGCTCTCATCTCAGCAGCTTTCCTAGCCTTGCCAGACGTCGTGAAGCCCTTCCACCTCTACATGAGTGAGGTAAGAGGCATTGCCAAAGGGGTTCTCACTCAGATTCTAGGTCCCTGGAAGAGACCTGTTGCCTATCTAAGAGACTGGACCCTGTGGCAGCAAGGTGGCCAGCGTGCTTCCAGGCAGTGGCCACCACAGCATTGCTGGTGAAGGAGGCAGATAAGCAGACTCTGGGCCAGGAGCTAAGCTTTTCTCCTGGACCAGCCCTGTGTCCGGTTTCACAAGACTGTGACCATCAACCCTGCCAGCCTGCTTCCAGATGATGATGGAAGAACCCATTCATGACTGAACAGAGGTAACAGATGACAAGATACTGTTCTCAGATGGGAGCAGTTACGTTCAGGATGGGACCTGATATGCAAGGGCAGTGGTAGTCACCCTGGACCACACCATTTGGGCACAGCTCCAGAATTTTTGGCCTTAATCCAGGCCCTTTGATGGAGACACTGTGCCATCCACAGAGAAAAGAGGGTTACCAACTGCAGCCAGAAGGAATCGGCTGAACAGAAGCAAACCCCTGACAGACCAGATGATGGGTGGACCCTCCAGATGACAAGACTGTTGGTCCCAGAGGCTCTAGGTCAGAGTTGCCCAGTGACACCAGATTACCCACTTAAGTGTCACCAAGACTTCTGAACTTCTGTGAGGCAGAGTTGCTAGAAGTACTGTCTGTGCACAGTAAATGCTAAGCAAGGTAAGGGGGTCCCCCCGGGAATTTGGGTCACAAGGAACTTCCCCAGGAGAGCATTGGTAGGTGGATTTCAGAGATTAAACCACCAGCATTAAGGTCTAGTTTCTGTAGACACTTCAGATTAGATTGAAGTATACCCCATTAGAATGGAAACTACCTCTATAGTAGTCAAGAGATTACTCCAGGAGATTATACCTAGATTCGGGCTGCCAGTATCAGATAACAGTCCCACCTTGGTAGCTAAGGTATCTCAGAGTATAGCTCTAGCCTTAGGACATGTAAGTGAGACTCTGGAAAAGGAGTTTAACTAAATGTGTCCTAGAATCGGTGAAAATTGGACCAACCCCCTGTCCTTCACCCTCTGAAGGGCCAGGTGTACCCCTTACTGGGACGAGTTTCCCCTTTTTGGGAGGGGATCATGTATGGTAACCATTCCCTTGCTCAAGTCCTTACAGGCTCTAGTTTGCTTGTTCCAGATGCACTGCCAGTGCCCACCGCAGACCCTGTAGCCCCGGAACTCAATGTGGGTAAAGAAATTCACTGCCCAAGGACTCAAAGGGATGCTACACTGTTATCCTGAGCACACCCACTGCTGTTGAAGTAGATGGCACCCAGACCTGACTACATGACTCCTAGCTCCTGCATGGCCTTGATCTTGGCAACTACAGGCCAGGAGGAGAACTGATGCCTGCAGGAGGGGAACTGGACTTCAGTGAGGACAATACTGATGGGAACTGTGGTACTAAGGGTCTTGGTAACTGTATTTGTTGTTTATGCTGAAAGGAAGTAGGCTGAGTCAATGATTTGACTAGGCACATTAGACAAGGGGGGAATGAGAGGGCAGGGCAGAGTTATCCCTAGTCCTCACCCAACCAATCAGGGTTAGCCGAGGCAGTGACATCACCACTGACCGGAGTAAAACCCCTAGATTGGGCGAAATTCGCTCTCTTCCGCCATGCTGCCGGCGTGAGTGGGACAGAGCCCATGCTAGCATGGAAGAGGCTCTTTTGTTTATTGCATCGGACTCGGCTCCCTGGTGGTCCTTGGGGATCACGAAGTCTGGGCGTAACAAGACCAATGCCCTTTTCTAGCTTGGTTCCATGAGGTCAGGACTTGGCTGTATTTTCCTTCTTAACCTTTCCTTGATTATCTTTTTTTTTGTGTGTGTGTGTTAATTCAATTTGACAACATTTTTTGGTTATTTAATATGAACAGGGCTCTATGTTAGGCACTTAGGATGAAAGGATAAATAAAACAAGTTTCAGCCAGCTCCTTCTCTGCTTCGACACCACAGCAATACCGTCCACCTAATGAGACTATTCTTCAGTATTTTACAGTATTTTTAACTATATTCCTTCTGCTGTACGTCACATCCCATGACTATTTTGTAACTACCAATTTCTTAATATATTTTTATTGATTTTTTATAGAGAGAGAGGGATAAAAAGTTAGAAACATCAGTGAGAGAGAAACATGGATCATCTGCCTTCTGCACACCTCCTACTGGGGATGTGCCCGCAACCAAGGCACATGCCCTTGACCAGAACCGAGCCTGGGACCTTTCAGTCCGAAGACCGATGCTCTATCCACTGAGCCAAACCAACGACCTCTAGAAACCTGTGCTATGCCATTGCCACCAATGGCATTCTGAAAAGTAAAGGCTGCTCTCAAACTATAGGAAGAAGCAAAAAATCAGTGTTGACATGCTTTTCGGAAAGACTGGTAGATTGGGGGTTAGAACCAAAGGTGAGGAATGTGGTTTCCTGCCCAGACCAAGTGCCCCTGAACAGTAACTCCCCAAAGGGTACTTACTGTCCCTGTTGTAAGGCCAGTGTGTGAAGAATCTGACAGACAGTATTTTTGGTATTAATATAAATGTATTTCACAAATTAAGGTGTTCCCACAGAGACAGACAATTTTATGGTAATAAGTCTGGCTAAGGTTCCTTGTATTTTTTTTTCTTCTCATTGTGAGAATCAGGTTTCCGACTGCAGGAGACCCTTGTCCTTTGTGTCCTGTTTCTCTTCGCACCCCTGGCTGGGGTCCTGCACCAGGAGAGTTAAAGGAAAGGCTGTTGTAAGCGCACCTAAAGGGAGCAGGAAACAGGCAGGATGTTTGGAAGGCCCGCTGACTTCTGGGAAACGGCGGCTTGCAGGAGCAATGAGTGTGTCTTGCTTTTTAACAGCCTCTGCCTCAGCATAGGGCGATACCTGGGACCTGGCGCTTAATAAATAGTGAGTCAGTGAATATGAATACGTAAATGAAGCCATGCTTTGCAAGCTCCATCTCCATGCCCTTAGAGACCAGCTTTAAGGTGAGAGGCCGCGGCTCCCCCGGAACCCCTCCTTCCGGGGCGGGGCCGGGCGCCGCCCCGCCCACCGGACCGCGGGCTTTAGGACCAGCGCGACCGGAAGCAGCTCGGAGGCGGGCTCCGGGGAACTTCGTGTGTCCGGAGTGGCACCGGCGCCGACGGGAGGGCCGCAGCGGCGGGAGGGTGGCTGCACCGCCGGGAACAGCGCCCATGGCCAGCCCCGCGCAGCCGGCCCCGCGTGGCGGCGGGAAGCGCAAGGGGAAGGCGCAGTACGTGCCGGCCAAGCGCGCCCGGCGCGGCGATGGCGCTGGCCCGCGGCAGCTGGAGCCCGGGCTGCAGGGCGTCCTCATTACCTGCAACATGAACGAGCGCAAGTGCGTGGAGGAAGCCTACAGCCTGCTCGGCGAGTACGGCGACGACCTGTACGGGCCGGAGCAGGTAGGCCGGCGCGGGCCAGGCCGCCCGCCGCCACACGCATGCGCGGGCCCTGCGCCAGCGGGGCGTGGCCTATGGGAGGGCGTGGCTCGGGCGTGCCCGCTGACGCCCCGCCCCTGGCGTGGTCGGTGGCGGAGCGCGTGGAGTCTTTGGCGGGAAGTGCCGCCATCCCGCTGTCGCTTCCGGTTGTTCCCCGCGGCCCGGGCTTGTGTGTGCGGCCGCCTGTGTCGTGCGGGGCCGGAGGAGGCGGGGCGGGGCGGGCCGGGCCGGCCCGGGCCGGGAGCTGGCCTGCCGGTCCGCGCGGCCCCGCGTGCGCTGCCGTCAGCACTGGGCTGTGGCGGTGCCTGTCCCGATGGCGCCTCCGGGACCGGGTTAGTGTGAGCGCGGCTGCTCCCCACTGCGTGTGTGAACACATTCCCCGAGGAAGAACTTCTGTGCCAGGAGCACCTCAAACCTACTGCCCTCGCCGTTTGCCAGTCATCTTGTTCCTGGCTTAGGGTCTGGACTGACGTGTGAATGCAGGAGGGCTGGTGCTGGGCGTGCCTGTTACTCTGCTGACTTAGGTAACAGGATAGTGACAGCACCTCTTTTTTCTTTTTTTATTTTAAATATATTTTATTGATTTTACTCAGAGAGAAATTGAGAGGGATAGAGAGTTAGAAACATCGATGAGAGAGAAACATGATCAGCCAACTCTTGCAACCCCCACTGGGGATGTGCCCACAACCAAGGTCCATGCCCTTGATCGCAATCGAACCCAGGACCCTTCAGTCCGCAAGCCGATGCTCTTATCCACTGAGCCACACCGGTTTCGGCAGACAGCACTTCTTAAGGTGACTAAAAAGCTGCCTATGTGCATAAGCACCTCCCGTGCGTGGGATGCGTGGCAGAGGCCGAAATGTGGGCCCTCACCAGTGCTGATGGCAGCTCCGTGAGGGCAGAGCTGGCCTTCCTTTCTAACTGCCACGCCAGCAGGCTCCTGCAATGTTTCCTGCTCTTCATTACAACGCGAAAAATTCCTTTTTAATTCCCCCACAGCATGGTCCACCGCACCAGGGAGAGTGTCCGCACAAAGGTGGCAGGGGTGGGATGAAGGCCCACCCTGCAGTGGTTTATCCGATGGTCACATTTCTCTCTGCCCCTGACTGGGAACATTTTAAATGATAAGCACCACAGTCCTCCCTCTGGGAGAAGCGAAAAGTTCTGTTGTCAGTATAGAGCTGCCTGCCCCTGGGTTTCACATAGTGGTTTATTCCGGCTTTCCACATGAGCTCTCCGCTTCTCTGCTCATCAGTTTTGTGCAAACAGTTTACAGACCAGGATCAGCAGCGCTCCGGGAGCGAGGGCGAGGACGACGATGCGGAGGCCGCCCTGAAGAAAGAAGTGGGTGACATTAAAGCGTCCGCAGAGATGAGGCTGAGAAGATTCCAGTCCGTGGAGAGCGGAGCGAATAATGTCGTCTTCATCAGGACGCTCGGGATAGGTGTGTCTGGCTGATCCCCTGGAGGTTACGGCCCTGTGATCTCTCCCTGCCACAGAGCTCTGCTCCCTCTGCAGTCCCAGCAGAGGCCTGGAAAGGCAGGAGGGGGGTAGACATAGCTTTGGCTCAGGAGTAGAAACAGGCTTGCCATTTTCTTTGTATGTAACAAATACATGGGCTGTCTAAAAGCGGCAGCCGCTGCCTAGCTCCAGCCCATTTGGAATGGCTTCCGACTCTAGGGAATGTGGTCCTGGTCTGATTTTTCAAAAGAAGTTGGAATTCTGGAGAAGTTTTTAGATTTTAAAATGCAGTTAAATAATTTAAACGTGTAGGAAGCACTGAGCTGCCCCAGTCAGATTTGCATGTTGTTAGGATGTGACTGAGGACCACCGCCTGGCCTTGCTGGGCTCCTCCAGGCTGAGGTCGGGATTTATGTACACACTTAGTTTCTGGAGTATTGAAACCTTTTTAAGTGGCTTGCAGATTCTTGTTTTTGTAAAATGTGTACTATTTAATGTTCGTTATTTAGATAGTTACCATTTTTTATAGGAAAACAGTATGGTTTTATCTTTGAATAAGTCAAATAGCATAAAAATGTAACTCCGCTATCTTCCTGAACAGTTGTTTTTGATAAAAGCGGTAATGCTGAAGAGTTACAATACTAGATATGGCATTAGTACATAGTAGGCATTGAAGAAATACTAGCTGGAAAACATGGCTGGTTAGACTTACTTAAAATGCATTATGATCACATCTTATACTCTGTTGTCAACTTATGTCACTGACGATGAAAATTCATTTTAGAGAGTTTGAAGAGGCTTTGAAATGTCCGAAAACTTAGATTCTCAAGTTGCGTGCTGTGTTTTCCTTTTCCTGTAGAGCCTGAGAGGCTGGTGCATCACATTCTCCAGGACATGCACACAACCAAGAAGAAGAAGAGCCGCGTGATTCTGCGAATGTTACCCGTCTCGGGCACGTGCAAGGCTTTCTTAGAAGATATGAAAAAATACGCAGAAACTTTTTTGGAACCCTGGTTTAAAGCTCCAAATAAAGGGACATTTCAGATTGTGTATAAAGCTCGAAATAACAGTCATGTGAATAGAGAAGAAGTTATCAAAGAATTGGCAGGTAAATTTCTCAGTGATTTTACATTGGTTCTTGTTTGTATGGATTTTTTTTTTTAAGGAAACTCCACTGTTTTCCAAAGTGATTGCACCAGTCTACATTCCCACCAACAGTGAGTGCTCCCTGTTCTCCACATTTCGACAGCTCTTGTTTATTGATTTATTGATGATAACCATTCTGACAGGTGTGAGGTGATATTTCATTGTTGTGTGGTTTGCATTGCTCTGATGATTAGTGACCTTGAGCATCTTTTCTTTCTTTTTCTTTTTAAAAAATATATTTTATTGATTTTTTGCAGAGAGAAAGAGGGATAGAGTTAGAAACATCAATGAGAGAGAAACATCGATCATCTGCCTCCTGCACACCCCTTACTGGGGATGTGCCCGAAACCAAGGGATGTGCCCGTGACCGGAATCGAACCTGGGACCTTTCAGTCCGCAGGCAGACGCTCTATCCACTGAGCCATACTGGTTTCGGCAAGCATCTTTTCATGTATCCATTGGCCACCTGTGTGTTATCTTTGGAGAAGTGTCTACTCAGGTCTTCTGCCTACTTTTGCATATATATATTTACTGATTTCAGAAAGGAAGGAAGAGAGAGAGATAGAAACATCAATAATGAGAATCATTGATTGGCTGCCTCCTGCACGTTTCATGCTGAGGATCGAGTCTGAAACCCAGGCATGAGCAGTGATCAGGAATCAAACTGACCACCTGGTTCATAGGTTGACCCTCAACCACTGAGCCACGTTGGCTGGCCCCACTTTTTAATTGGGTTGTTTGTTCTGGTTTTGAATTGTCTGAATTCTTCATAAATTTTGATATTAATTTCTTACTAGACATGTCATTGGTGATTATGCCCCCCATTCTGTAAATTGTCTCTTCATTTTGTTGTACAAAATTATTTAGTTTGCTGTAGTTCCATTTATTTATTTTTTCTTTGCCCGAGAAGAGGTGTCAGAAGAATATCTCTAGAGAAACGTCCGAGATGTTAATCCTTTGTGTTCTTCTAGGGCTTTTATGGTTTCAAGACTCTAAATTTATGTTTTTGATCCATTTTAAGTTTATTCGTTTTTTAAAAATATATATTGTTGTTGTGTTTTTTTTACAGAGAGGAAGGGAGAGGGATAGAGAGTTAGAAACATCCATGGAAAGAAACATTGATCAGTTGCCTCCTGCACACCCCCTACTGGGATGTGCCTGCAATCCCTGGACTGGAATCAAACCTGGGACCCTTCAGCCCACAGGCCAGCGCTCTATCCACTGAGCCAAACCAGTTAGGGCTGGTTTATTCTTATGTATGAAGTAAGAAAATGGTCTAGTTTTCTTTTCTTTTTTTTTTTTTTTTACTTTTTTTCATCTATTCATCCAATTTTTCCAGCATCATTTATTGAAGAGACTGTGTTTGTCCCATTGTATGTTCTTGCTTCCTTTATCAAAGATTAACCCTTTGCACTCCGCTGTCCCCTCTCAGGGGACATTGGAATTCTAGCATATCACTCGGATGTCCCCTCTCAGGGGACATTGCAGTTTATTAGTGATTACGGGGAATTGAGTTAATTCAACGCACGTTTCCGCCGTTAGCGTCGAGTAGCTGGTAGCCAATGTCCAGAATGGTTCGGAGTGCAAAGGGTTAATTGACTGGATTGGGGGGGGGAGGGGTTATCTCTGGACTTTCTCTGGTTCCATGATCTATGTGTCTGTTTTTATGCCTGTGCCATGCTGTATTGATTTCAATGGCTTTGTAGTATAGTTTGATATTAGCTAGTGTGATACTTCCCACTTTGTCTTCTTTTTTCAAGATACCTGTCGCTATCCTGGTCCATGTGGCTTTGTTGGTTGGAGTGTGGTCCCATGCACCAAAGGGTTGTGGGTTCAGTTCCTGGTCAGGGCACATATCCAAGTTGTGGGTTTGGTCCCCAGTCAGGGCACATATGGGAGGCAGCCGATCTATGTTTCTCTGTTACATCTATCTTTCTCTCTCTTCTCCCTTCCTCTCTCACTAAAATCAGTTAAAAAAATAAAAGATTTCTGTTGCTATTTGGGTCTTTTGTGTTTCCATACAAGCTTTTAGATTATTTGTTCTACTTATGAATTGGAATTTTGATAGGAATGATGTTGAATCTATAGATTGCACAGTATATATTTCTACTTATTAGTATCTTCTCTCTTCAATGTTTTATCATTTTCTGTTACCTCCTTGGTTAAATTTATCCCTAGGGCCCTGGCTGGTGTGAGGCATTTGGTTGGATAGTCAACCCATGCAATAGAAGCTCATGGAGTTAATTCCCAGTCAGGACACATATCTAGGTTGTAGGTTCAACTCCCAGTTGGGGCAAGAATGGGAGGCAACAGATTGATACATGTCTCTCACAGCCATGATTCTCTCTCTTTCTTTCTTTCCACCTTCCTCCCTTCCTCCCTCCTATCTCTCTACCCCTCCCTTCCTGCTTCTCTGGAATTAATAAAATAAAATAAATGTATTCCTAGGTATCTTTTATGCAGTTGTAAGTGGATGTGTTTTTAATTTTCCTAATTGATAGATCATTATCTATATATTTAAAAGCCTAAGTGACCATTATGACCGGTTGACTAGTCGCTTTGATGAGCACTGACCACCATGGGGCAGATGCTCAACACAGGAGCTGCCCCCTGGTGTCAGTGTGCTCCCACGGCCAGCCAGCTTCCTGTGGCCTTCCTCCCCCCAGGCTGGCAGGCCCTGAGTGGGGCTGGGCCGGCTGTGGGAAGTTGGCCCTGATCGCCGACCAGGCCTAGGGACCCTACCTGTGCACAAATGCGTGCACTGGGCCTCTAGCTGTCATATAAAAATGCATCTGATATTTGGGTATTTATTTGTATCCTGCTACCTTACTGAATTCATTATTAGTGTTAGTAGTTTTTTTTGTGTGGAATATACAGGGCTCTCTAAATACAGTATTGTGTCATCTGCAAATAATAACAGTTTTACTTATTCCTATCCAATTTGGATGTCTTTTATTTCTTGTCGGATCGCTGTGGCTAGGACTCCTAGTGCTGTGTTGAATACGAGTGGTGAAAGTAGACATCCCTGTCTTTTTTCTGACTTTAAGGGAAACACTTAGTTTTTTCTTATTGAGTTTGCTGTTGGCTATGGGTTTGTTATATGTGGCCTTTATTATGTAGAGACTAGTGGTCCAGTGCACGAAATTCGTGCACATTAAAACGGGATTACTTAGAGGAAATACTTTATTTTATTTTATTATTTTTTTTAAATCTTTATTGTTCATATTATTACAAAAGCTCCTCATTTTTTCCCCCTCCACCAGGTTCCCACCCCATCCTCTGCCCTTTCCCCACTCCCCATTGTCCTCATTCATAGGTGCACAGTTTATGTTCAGTCTCTTCCCGCACCCCCTACTCCTCTTTTCCCGGAGAATCGTCAGTTCACTCCCCTTCCATACCTCTGATTCTATTATATTCAACAGTTAATATTGTTCATCAGGTTTTTTAATTCCCTTGGTTTTTAGATTCACTTGATAGTTACATATTTGTTCATAATTTTTATCTTTATTTTCTTCCTCTTCCTAAAGAACCCCCTTCAGCAATTCATATAATGCTGGTTTGGCAGTGATGAACTCCTTTAGCTTTTTTTTTTTATTGGTGAAGCTCTTTATCTGGCCTTCGATTCTGAGTGATAGCTTTGCTGGGTAGAGTATTTTTGGCTGTAGGTTCTTGCTATTCATCACCTTTAATATTTCTTGCCATTCCTGTCTGGCCTGCATGGTTTCTGTTGAGAAATCAGCTGACAATCCTATGGGTGCTCCTTTATAGGTAACTACCTGCTTTGCTCTTGCTGCTTTAATATTCTCTCTTGTCTTTTGCTCTTGGATTTTTAATTATGATGTGTCTTGGTGTGGTCCTCTTTGGATTCCTTTTGCTTGGGGTTCTGTGTGCTTCCTGGACTTGTAAGTCTATTTCTTTCCCCAGGTGGGGGAAGTTTTTTGTCACTATTTCTTTCAATATGTTTTCGATATCTTGCTCTCTCTTTTCTTCTGGGACCCCCATAATTCTGATGTTGGTTCGCTTGAAGTTGTCTCAGAGGTTTTTTACATTATCTTCAACTTTCTGGATTCTCTTGTCTTCTTGCTTCTGTGGAGGAGTGTTTTCTGGCTCTTTGTGTTCCAAATCTTTGACTTGATTCTTGCGATCTTCCATTCTGTTTTTAGGACTCTGTATAATATTTTTTATTTCAGACAATGTATTCTTTATTGATTCCTTTTCATATCCTCATAGGTCTCGTTTATTTTGTCGGCCTTTTCTAAGAAACTCTTGAAAAACCTTATAAGCGTGGTTTTGAACTCTATATCCAGTCGCTTTTTGTCCTCCATTTCTTTTGTTTGTGATCTGTTTCCTTTTCTCGGCATTTTCACTCCTTCCCTAAGTTGGTAGGGTGGCTTTGTGTGTTAAGGTGTCCTATATGGTTCAGTTGGTCAGCCTCCCAGTTATCTTGGTGCACCCTTTGAGGACTGTGTGTACAGCCTTTTGTAGTTAAGTCTTAATTGTTGTTGGTATCACTGGGAGGAATTGACCTCCAGGCCAATTGGCTGTGAGGATCAACTGTGTCTCTGCTGGGAGACAGCCTTATTTAAGAACCTCTGTGCTCAGCATGGATGGGGTAGAGTTTCAGGGTGGAGCCTACAGCCTTGGCTTTCTCTCAGCCCTGCTGTATGAGGCTCCTGAGTCTCAGTGTTCCTCAGTGTCCTTTGGTACTTGCTGCTTTGGTACTCGCTGCAAGCACCTCTGAGAGAAAGCTGCCCTCGAGTTTCGCCCACTACCAGACAGTCTAGTCTCTCCCCCAATGAGCCCAGAACTGGGGTTCAGTGCAGTTGGAAGTGGGGTTCAGTGCAGTCCAGAGCTTTTGTCTACTTCCTGCTACGGCAATCCAGCCGCACAGTCAACAGTCTGTGCAATGTGCGCGCCTCCGGGACTTCCTTTCGCTGCTCCCGAGTTTCCGCCTTACAGCCC